GGGAGTCTGCTTCTCCCTCTGACCCTCCTCCCTCTCATGCTCTCTGTCTCTCATTCTCTCTCTCTCAAATAAATAAATAAAATCTTTAAAAGAAGAAGAATAAGGAAGCAGGCCTGGGAGGCAGAGAATGAGAATCTGGGCGAGTGGTTCACGGTAAATACCCTAAAATCCAGCCTAATGTCCCAGTGGGGTTCTGTGGCCTAGGTGCTGCTCCTCACGCATCGTCTCCTGCACGCTGGGACCACAGCATCCGTCCCCTTCCTCTGTCTGCTTGTTCACAGCCTCCTCGCAGACGGGCCTCCCACAGAATCAAAAGCAAATAACCTCAGCCCACTCTGCCTCGGGCCGGGTTCCTCCCGGCACACGCATGTCCGCGGCCTGAGCGGCTGTGGGAAGCGGCAGCCCCCCAGAAGCTGCCTTGTGTGGCTGGAATGTGCATTTGCTCCACGGACCATCTCCAGCCGCTCAGAGCCCGGACGGAGGGGAGCACGGAGAGCACAGGGGCCCCCGCCACACAGGGCTGGTCGTGAGCTCGCCCCTCCATTTGAGGCCAGGGGCCCTGGCCGCTGGAGAGCAGGATTGTTCTGTGAATCGGCCCTTATCCGAGCCCCAGAGCTCTCGCATCTTCGTAGAAGGTGGCTGCAGAACCAGCTCTGCTACGATACCGACAGGGAACAGCCTAGCAAACTGAGAGTTCTCATAGTTCCAAGTACACTGAACGTGACAATTTTATGAACTCGCTAAGTGAATGTATTCAATCAACTATTATTTATGGTTTGGATCCCTAAGGGCAAGGAGATCCAAAAATGATTCCGATATTGACCCTGCTCTCAGAACACTTAGAGCAGGGGCTCCCATTCATGGCCCTCGAAGGGGGGTAACGGAGGTCTGGGGAAGCCAGGTCCCATTTTCACCGAACAAATTAGCAGAAAGTAAAAACAAACCAGAAGGCATGGCTGAAATCCAAGATCTCAGTCTTTTTGAAAAGCAGTTTGATATTTTTTAGTCTTAAAATGTGTTTTAAATATTTAAAACGTTCATATACTTGACCTAAGAATTTCCTTTCCTTTCTGAGAGTCTGTAGCATGGAAAAGAATCCAAACGATGGATTAAGATGGACAGATTCTATATTACATTGTGATAAATTCTTACACAGCCGCTAAAATCATCAATGAAGCTTTTATACCGTATGTTTCATTTGTATGTTTATTATTTAGGTCATCAGGATTTTTGTTTTTGCTTTATTTAAAAATTTTATTTATTTATTTGAGAGAGAGCGAGAACATGAGTGGGGAGGAGGGGCAGAAGGAGAGGGAGAAGCAGGCTCCCCACTGAGGAGCCTGAAGCGGGACTCAATCCCAGGACTCCGGGATCATGACCCAAGCCGAAGGCAGACACTTAAGCAACTGAGCCACCCAGGCAACCCATCAGGGTTTTTTTTTTTTTTTGTACCAGGTACTATGTCAAGAGACCGACAGTAATAACTAACCCCCCCCCAACACGCACATACAATATTACAGTAAGGGGGGTGGTAGTGCTATGAAGGCGAGCATCCAGGCCTGTGAGAGACACAGCATGGAGGACTTCACTGAGCTAGGACAGCAGAAAAGGCCTCTTTGAGGAAGTGGTGTTTTTAGTGGGAACCTAAAGGGCAAATAGGAGTTCCAGGTGCCCTGAGGAGAACTCACTGGCGGGAAGAAAGTCTGGAAGCTGGGAGACTGGTTGGAGACTTTGTAGTCCAGGCAGACGACGTGGCAAGGCCAGGAGAGAGGTGGGTATCCCCAGGGACCGGTTTTGGCAGTGGAGGCTTGGAAGGACCTGCGATGGGCGGTGTTGACAGGGAGGTTCCCCATCTTGTGAGCGCAGTGAAGTGCTGGGGGAGGTGGAGGACCGCAGGAGGTGCGGACCTGGAGAGATGACAAGAACAGGTCGGGCTGGAGGCCCCCGGGGGAGCTCCAGTGTTGAGAAAGCGGCTGAATAGAGTTAAAAACCGACCGAGATCCGAGCTAGAGACAGATCTGGGCATTGGTAGCATTGACCTGGTCCGGAGAGGGAGAAGGGAAAGAGCACAGGCCATGCCCTTGGGAGCCCTGACTTTTAGAGCAGATTTGGAATATATTGGTCTGGGTAGGGGCCCAGGCATTGGTAGTCTTTAAAACGGTTCCAAGATGATTTTCATGTACAGCCAGGGCCGAGAACCACTATTGTAGGATTTGAAGAAGGAAGGAGGAAGCAGAGGAAATGGAAGGAGTGGTCAGAAGGGTAGCAAGACATGAGAAGAGTTGGGGCACCTGGCTGGCTCAGGCGGTAGAGCGTGCGAAATTAAGATAGTGCTTCAAGAGAAGAGTGTTTCCAGAAGGAGGGAGTGTGGTCAGCCATGCTGAATCCTGCAGTGTGGTTTAGTAAGGCGAAGACCGACGTGTCCACGGGATGCGCAGCTGGGCAACACCAGTGACCTCGGCAGGAGAAGCACCGGTGGTGCGTGGGGTGGAAGCCCGTTGGAGCGGGCTGAGGGGGGGCATGGGGGGTGAGGGAGGCAGCACCTGTCATCAGCTGTTTCAGGTTTAGCTGTGAGTGGGGAGTGGAAATATGGGGCGGTAGCTGGGGGGGCCGCTGTGTTTGCCTCAGATGGGGATTGCTAACGCCGGTGTGAAGCTGATCGTGGTGATCCAGTCGATAGGGGAAGTGAATGACGTAGAAATGGAAAATGGAAATGGAACATCAAGTCCGTGATGTAAACAAATGATAGGGAAAAAAAATTGAATGGAAACATAACGAAATCCTATTTCTTTATGCTTTATAGAAATATTCTCAAGTATTACTTCTTATTCAGTAAAAATAATTAAAAAACAAACAAACAAACAAAAACAACGCATGAAGAAAGGCTTCGAGTTAAAGATGGCAGGTTGAACATGTGTTTACTCCTGCCTCCCAGAATCCTTCTAAAGCAAGAGTGAAGGGGCTTTTTAAGGAATGAACAAGGAGACAACAGCAAGCACGTTCTGGAAGCCCAAGAGCAGATGGCCGGGTGATCACTGATTTAGAAAGCTACATCCAAAACTGATACTGGGGAAAGCAGAAAAGAAACTCGATCTGCACTCCACCCCCATTCCCTACTCCAGGCTCGGAGACTCTAGGTATCTCTGGAGATGGGGGCAAAGGTGGGCTTAAAAACAGAGGATGGGTCAGACATCTTTCACCTCCCCTCCGCGGCCTCCCTCAGTCCCTCAGCCGGCATCTGCCTCTCCCAGCCCTGGTGGACAGCCAAGGCTTCTTCTCTGGAGAAGATGAACAAAACGATGTCTGAAGGTGGACACCGGGCACAGTGGAGGGTGGGGCACCATGCCGACTACAAGACAGTAAGTGAAACATGACATGCAGATACTGAGATCTGCAGCCTTCCTCCCTAACCTGGCTCCCAAGCAATGTGGACATCCAGGATGAAACCCCCAGGCAGCATACTGGACGAGTCTTGCCTGGAGACTTTGGGGACCAGCCCAAGGGATCTCCCCAGGAAATGACTCAGCCAAGCCATCCTGTTGGGAAACGCATCATAGCAAGCCCTACTTAAAGGCACCAAACTTTCAATCTCTTTTGAGTATTCTACTTTTAATTATAGATAACCAAGACCACAGACATTTGGGAAAAGCCTCTAATATAGAGAGACCAAAGGAAAAGAAAGCAGAAAAAATAAATTTCAGAGAAACAGATCATGCAGAGAGATTTAAAAAACTATGTTTAAATACATATGTATATATTTATATATAGTTATGTAATATATATAACATATATGTATTTCACATTCCTTAAGGAGATAAAATAAGTGAATACATCCATGACACAAAAGTATAATGCTTATTGGGGTGCCTGGGTGGCTCAGTGGGTTAAGCATCTGCTTTTGGCTCAGGTCATAATCCTAGGGTCCTGGGATCGAGCCCCACATTGGGCTTCCTGCTCGGCAGGGAGTCTGCTTCTCCCTCTCCCCCTCCCCCTGCTTGTGTTCCCTCTCTCACTGTGTCTCTCTCTGTCAAATAAATAAATAAAATCTTAAAGAAAAAAAGTAAAGGATGGAAGTCAACATCCAGATATTAGGAACATCACACACACACACACACACAAAAGCATAGCAAAAATAGGGAGGAGGGAATTAGCAATGAAATAATTCAAGGAAAATTCCCAGTACTGAAAGACATGGTTTTCCAGATTGAAAGAGCCCAGCAACTGTCCAGAACAATGGATGAAAACAGACTCATGCCTTAGATACTTCAGCAAGAAATTTCCGGGCAACTGAGGCCAAAACGATCCTACAAGTCTCCAGAAAGGGAAAAAAAAAAAAAAAAAGGTTCATAGAAAGGAACAAGAATTAGGATGGCTTTGGACTTTCCAACGATATTGGAAGAAGACAGTAGAGCAATACCTTTAAAATTATCTAAATTTCAAAATTGGAACATATTTTCCAACCGTTCTAGAGTTTTCTATCAGCCAGACGATTCTAATTAAATGTGAGAGATGAAATCAAAACATTTTCAAGGTCTCCTGTGCACCCTTCCTCCAACTGGGGGAGGCGCTTTGCTGAAATGAGGAAGTACACCAAGAGAGGTGTTAGGAGCTCCAACAGAAGAGAGGTGAGGGGGATGCCCGGGATGCTGTGGGATCCCGAGAAGACAGCTGTGCACCTGGAGGCAATCAATGCAGACTGGAGCACATCAGAAGGTTGTAAAAATTTTCCTTCAAGTCGATGAAATTGAGAAATACCCATTATGTCCGAATGTTTTGAGGAGAGACTTATAGAAGAGGTCGGGGAGTTTGGAGCTGACTTAATGAAAACAGTAAGCTAAGCCAAGGAAAAAATTATAAACTCCAGGGAAAGCAAAAGACACAGACATAGAAAATAACTGTAGTATACTCCACCATTCAATGTTACATAACATTTATGTAATCTAATAATGTAAATGCCCAATATTCATCCAAACAGAATTGCAAACTAAACTAGAAGGATCAGGGATTTGGAAAAGATTTGTCTGGATGGGGAGAGATGGTCCTCACCTCCAGCTCTTGGAAGTCATCAGATGATGTTTACATTGAAAATTCAAGGGACTCCTGGGTGGCTCAGTTGGTTAAGCACCTGCCTTCGGCTCAGGTCACGATGCCAGGGTCCTGGGATCGAGCCCCGCATCGGGCTCACTGCTCAACAGGGAGCCTGCTTCTCCCTCTGCCCCTCCCCATGTGCACATACGCATGTCTGCTCTCTCTCTGACAAAATCTTAAAAAAAAAAATTCAAGGAGTAGCAATAGGAGTGTGTTCCTTAGAGATATGAAGGGAAATAACAGAAGAATTAGCTCGAAGAATTGGAAGTGTTGCCTCTGGGGAGCAGGAAATATAGGTGGGGAGTGGAGGAGAGCTTTTTAAAAACAAGTTTTGAAAAATGTTAAAGCTTTCGTAATGTTAAAAAACTTCCATGTAAAAACAATACCATGGATATTAATGACAGAGTAAAGTTTCTGTGTCAAGGTTCGCTTTCAAATTTATCACTAAGAGGAGGATTAGCTTCATTACCTGAACTTATTTTTCATTATCCTAAAATGATAAAATAAATCCAAGGAGACCATAGCAGGCTTAAATTGATGTTACAAAAGCAATTCCTCTGTACTAATTTTGCAGTTCCTCTGTAACTCTAAAAATATTTCAAAATAAATGTTTATTTAAAAATATAAATAAAAATAAAAACAAGTTTTGAGAAACTAACCCTCAGGCTGTGTGCATATATAACTTTTTTAAAGATTTTATTTATTTCAGAGAGAGAGGGAGAGAGATTATGAGCGAGGAGAGGGACAGAGGGAGAGTCTCAAGCACATAAATTGGAAGGAATACACTGAAGAGAATTATATGGGGCTTTCACTCTGTCTGCATTTATTCTTTTTGAATTATGCTGATGAAACTTTAGTTTTTCTGGAAAGAAAAACCCAGTGCTGCCACATTAACCTTCTTCACCAGCTCAAAGCAGAGAAATCATGGTTGACTTGGCTTTCCAACATCCTTATGGCTGTACTTTCTGCTAGATTTTTAAAGCTTTTGGCATATTAATTTTTAAAGTCTTTCTTAATGCATTTTTAAGTGTTTTATTCTTTATTTTTTTTAAGTTTGTTTATGTAATCTCTACACCCAACCTGGGGCTCAAACTCAGGACCCTGAGATCAAGAGTCACTTGCTCTTCGGACTGAGCCAACCAGGTGCCCCAATTTTTAAAATCTTTTTTAAAAAGTTATATATGGGGGCGCCTGGGTGGCTCAGTCATTAAGCATCTGCCTTCAGCTCAGGTCATGATCCCAGGCTCCTGGGATCAAGCCCTGAGTCAGGCTCCCCGCTCAGTGCAGAGTTTGCTTGAGACTCTCCCTCTGTCACTCCCCCTGCTCTCTCTCTCAAATAAATAAACCAAATCTAAAAAAAAAAAAAAAAAAGCAAATAGACTTTCTGGGTCAAAGGATATACCCATTTAAAAATTTGATACATGGGCGCCTGGGTGGCTCAGTTGGATAAGCGACTGCCTTCGGCTCAGGTCAAGATCCTGGAGTCCCGGGATCGAGTCCCACATCAGGCTCCCTGCTCAGCAGGGAGTCTGCTTCTCTGACCCTCCTCCCTCTCATGCTCTCTGTCTCTCATTCTCTCTCTCGCAAATAAATAAAATCTTAAAAAAAAAAAAAGAATTAAAAATTTGATACATATTTTAAATGTCCCTCAAAACAATTGTGCCAGTTAATACACCTCCAGTTTATACACAAACATGAGACTACCTCTTTCCTCATACCCATGCCGATAGTAGGTATTGTCTTTTTATTATTTGCCAAAGTGATGGGTAGAAAAGACAGTATTTTGATGCTTTCATTCAACTTCTGTAAGAGTGATGTTGAGCCTATTTTCATACCTTTATTGAGCACCAGGATGTCTTATTTTATGAATTATCTTCTGAACATTGTCCTTTTGGATTATTCATCATTTTATTATCGATTTGTAAAGCTTTTTAAAAGTTAAGGGTATGGGGTGCCTGGGTGGCTCAGTTCGTTAAGCATCTGCCTTCGGCTCAGATCATGATCCCAGGGTCCTGGGACGTGGGTGTGCGTGCTTGCTCTCTCTCTCTCTCTCACAAAAATAAAATCTTTAAAAAAATTTTTTTTAAGTTAAGGATATTAGCTCTTTTCCTATGTATGCGGATATATTTTTGAATATATGGTTTACCTCTGTATTTAGTATTTGTGTGTGTGGTATGGATATTTTAAATTTTTGTATGTTCAGATTTTATCAGTTTTAAGTTTCTACGTATTCAGATTTACCCATAACTTTCTTTATGGTGTCTGGGTTTCATATTAAGCATAGAAATACTTACTTAGCCCCTTTTATTCAGTAAACGTGATTACAGGTCTTGGGCCTATGAGGTTTTTAAAAACCCCTAAAAATATTTGAAATCTGAAATAAAATATTTCTTGCTCCAGAAAACAAAAAAAAATTTGCAAAACATAAATAGTTAAGTATTTTCACTAAGTGTCTGCAAATATAACATTATATCAGCTTCATTAACTATTAAATGTAGTGCTCACAAACACACAATATATTTGGAAACAATTTGTAGGGTTGATTTTTTTTTCCCCATCTTGCAAGAGTTCTCAGGAAGAAACATAATTGCGGAGATCACAAACCAAGCACAAATTAAATCAGTTCCTTGTCACCAGACAATGTCAAGGCAAAGCTACAGAAATTCTTGCAAAAAAATATACACCTAAAAATGAGAGTTGGTATGTGTTGGGCACATGTAATGTCTGCTGCGACCGGCCAATGCCTCCAGATCTGAAGTCCCAGGGGGCTAGGAATAGCTTGTTCCTCAGCTCCCGGTTGTAAAGAGAGAGAGAGAGAAGGAAAGAAGCTGTTTTTTTCTAATACTAGTATGATTTCATTATTTGTGTCTAAACTGTTGTTTCATCAGTGATTTATTTTAATGTGAAGACTGTTTTCTTGTTGCGAAAGCAGTTGTCCCCCCACTCCATTCATTCCCATTCCATTTATTTAAAACTTTTCCCCACTGGCTTGAAATTCTCCCTTTGATCATAGCCTATATTCCTGCAATGTACGTGTCTTTAACTTTTTTAATGGGAGAACAAATGACTGCTTATAAATGCAATCTGGTTGTCAGTACTCTTTCAAAAGTTGTTTAGGGTGGGGAACCCTTTTTGGTAGGAGCCCACTGGTTTCCCAACTGTCTGACAAATGGAGGAGAGGCACGAATATGTGTAAACACAGCACCTCCCAAAGGGAGAAGAAGTAAACGCCCTAGAGGGAAGCACAGTTCCGTTCGGCAGCGGAGAGCATCGGAGGTTTGGGCGAGCGAGGTCGTGAGGGAGGGGCGGGTACTGAAGGCAGTGGTCTTGGAGCTAGAGTACCAATGCCCCGGGGGTTCAAGGAGACTTCCCAAGAGGGACGTGGCATAGATGGCTTTGAGGGCTCGGGAAGTCCTTAGTCGATCTCATTCATAAATCTCATCAGTGAGAGCACACAGCACATGCAGCCCCTGCCATGCTGGTCCTCATCAACCACACCCCTCACCCGTCCCCATCTCCTGAGGGAGCATTTCTCTGAAGTATAGAAAGCCCTCTGGATTACAGAGACAGTCCAGAACGGAGGGGCACAGGACCACAAGTGCGGCACCCTGGGGCCTGGATGGCAAATTCTTTTGCAAGTTAGATCACTCGCAATACTTTGCTTTCAACAAAATTGAAAGAGAACCTAATTAAGTTGTCAGCTAATAGGTCATTAGAAACAATTTTTGATGATCTGTTAACCATGTGCTTTCACAGCATTATAATTCAGAGCAAATTCGGACAATCAAGTGATGATTCTATAACAAAGCTCCTGCCAGCCCATCTATATATCTATGTAAATGAGCTTTGCCAATGCTTGTGTTTATGAAAATGAAAGATAGGAACAGATTTTATTCTGAACTCTTAAATCAAGTAATAAGAATATTCATTCTCAGATAAGCAAACTAATTGGGGAAAAAAAATTCCTCCCCATCCTTGTAAGAGCCATTTCCAACAAGTTTTTAGTTTTCTATCTTGAGTAACTGTGTATCATTGTACAGTAATAATAACGAAGGATAACTTAAGCCAGGAAAACAGTCAACACTTAGAGCCCCGTGGTTATTAGAAATGAAAGCAAAATTAATCTTTCAATTTACATACACATTTTTGTGGCAGAGTGGTAGACGAGGAGATCAGTAAAAGGCTTCGAAGCATAAAAATATGTTCTACTGGGATAAAATTCTGTGGGCAAAGTGGGAATGGAAATATAAGTTCAAGGTGAAAAGGAATGATATAAAAATTTCAACTATCAAAGAAGAACTTGTTCATGTATTTTTTAAGTGAATAATGGTGGGTTGAAAATTGCCGGCGTTCTCAGATCCCACTGGCGACATTCAAGAGTGACAGAAGAGTTTATTTTAAACCATCAATATTTACAGTACTCCAGAAATGACATCTTTTGCAGTTACTGAAGCATTTTATATGTTTATTCAAAAAAGTGCAAAGGGGTGCTTAGTTTTTAAAAACTGCTTTAGGGAGGAAGCAGGCAAAATATTTTCAGGAGTTTGTGAAGTCAGGGAAGGTATTTTTCTGATGCTGGGGTCACGGTCGTGCTCGTGGCTCTAGCGCAGAGACAAGGGTTGCAGAGCGAGAAGCCAGTGCCGCTGGGGGTGCGTGGTGGCCCCAGGAACACAGCGGGGCTCAGGCAGCGAGCAGTCACCGTCTCCCCAGGTGGGAGACAAAGGGGGAGTCAGCGGGTGACTTAGAGCTAGAGCAGGAGCGAGGCAAGGATGTGAGGGTGGGTGACTTCATCTTTGTTGTGAGACCGAGAATAGGAGGAGGAGGTTTTGGAGACTTGGTTGTGGGGGAAGGCAGGCACGGTCTGGGTTTAAGGCTGTGGCCCTGAGGCGTCGGGGACCGTCACAGCTGCTTTCTATTCTGCTGCTCCACACGGCTGGCAGGAGATTGGTTGGCTGCTCAGACGAGAATGAAAGGATTGCCGGGCACAAGAGAGAACCCAGTTTTGAGTCCCGGGGCATCAGCTGCCGGCCTACTGGGTGGGTCTGGTTTCCCGGCTTTTAGCTTGGGGATCACGAGTGGGTGTGGTTAACAGCGGGGAGGCTTCCCAGGGGCACGGACTCTTGGCTTTGTTTACCAGGTTCCCAGTGTCTTTTCTCTTTCCACAGCACTTACCACCTTCTGGCATCCCATATAATTTATTATGTTTCTTGCCTTGGGTAAGGTGTATGGGGTTTGGGAGCTCTGTTATGTGCACCGATGTATCCCACGTCATTAGAATACCCCATCGCACCTAGTTGGTGCTCGATAAGTAACCACTGAATAAATGAATTAAATGAAGGAATAAATGCATCTGTTGATGCATTACACATCTATAATTTCCTTAATTAACAACATGATTTTCAAGCTGGGAGGGAGTTTCTGCTGGCACAGCTCTCTCCATAGGGGAAGAAAGTAAAGCTGAACCCCTACCTCACACTCTACACACATAAAAATAAATTTCAGATGGAGCAAAGACCTAAATGTAAATAATAAAGCAATAAAAACCTTGAAATAAACTCCAGGAGACCCTATGAACCATCCAGGAGCAGAGGAGACCCTCTTAATTAAGAAAACCCAGAAGCCATAAAAGACAAAGGGACGTGTGTGACCATGGGAAGACTTGAAGAAAGTGGTCTGATAAGAGATGGCACAGAGTCAACAGACAAACGCTAGATTTGGGGACTGTCTGAAATGCTGATAAGAGAAAACGGGTTATCTTTAGCACAGGAACCAAAGGACTCTTACCAGTTTGACAAGAACAGAACACAGTTCATACGGAATCAACTTGAAAAAGCCAATAAGGAAAAGACAACGATATTCAGATGACCCTGGTCGGGAAAGTGGGATTAAAGTATCAGAAAATTATCAATTTACACCCATCTGACCGAGGAAAATATGAAAGAGCAGTGGTGTCAGTCTCTGGCAGGGAGGTGGGGAAGAGGCTGTGCTCCTGCAGGGCTGGTAGAAATACGAATTGTCACAGCCTTGTTCAAAAGCAACCTGATGACATCTATCAGATTAAAAATAACCACACCTTTGACTCTGCGGCCCCACGCCGGGGTCTCGCATGGAAATCAAACCCCTGTTTTATAGTGGGACATGTAAATCCACCTGTGATTGCGGGATAGTTCATCAGACAAAACAAAAAAAACCACACGTTCCTCGGAGGGGGAAGGGCTGAACATGCGGCTGGCCTGGCCCCGGGCTGCCTGCAGCACTTAGGACGAAGGCGGTGACTCTACAGAAATTGCTTTCAGGGGATTTCTGCAAGACATCTGAGGGAGAAAAGGAATGGAGAGGACTATGTATATGCCAATTTTTTTTTTTAAACCAGTAATGGCCAGAAAATAAAAACAGAGAAACATAAATGTGTTGCCATAAATACTTACGTAAGTATAGAGAAAACTGCTAGGTTACTTACAGGGGTAACCTGGGGAGGTCGCAGCTGTGAAATGGGAAGGGAGGGGAGGAGGAAGGCAAATCAAAAGAGGAAAAATACCACACTAAAAGATTATGTGCTAAATCCCACTTATGCAAAATGATGCCCGTGTGTGTGTGGACATTCGAAATTACCTGCAGATCTATTGGCAAGTTAAAAAAAAAAAAGGGCAACGTGTGTAATCAGATGCTGTTTAAAAACAAAGCTGAGAGCTCCAAGTGCGTGCCTGAGTGTGTGTGTGTGTGTGTGTGTGTGTAACTGGGGGCCGGGAGGGGGCTCGGGGGTGTCTGGTCTGTCCGCATAGGACCCCGGGGGGCTGGGCTCAAAAGGTGTGCATGGTGAGGAGGTGATGAGCCTTTTCATTATTCATCTTGACTGTGAGGGAGGGAAACTATCTGTTGACTTTGACTGGCCTGACCCAGGAAAGGGAATTAAGATCTCATTTGTTCAAAAAACAAAAAGCAAAAAAACAACCCTGACAATACTATTTTTAAAATTGTAGGGGTCATGGAATACAAACTCCACATCTATTTTAACTTTACTGCGGTTGGTACTGATGTTCAAGGCTACAGGATGTCCAGAAACTTCTGTGTCTGCTCACTCAACCCCACATTATCTTTCCTCGTGGTCTCTAAAATGAGAATTTTTGCAATGTAAATCCCAGGCTGCAAAAACCTCGTGCAATGAACGTGTTCTGGGTTCTTCTGTCCTCTCCCCCCAACCCCTCCCTACCTTCGCAGCACACGACGGGATCGTGATCAAGATCGAGGTGCAGACCAACGACGAGGGCTCCGAGAGTCTGGAGACGCCAGAGCCCCTCATGGGGCAGGTGGAAGAGCACGGCTTTCAGGACTCGGAGCTGGGAGACCCGTGTGGTGAGCAGCCGGACCTGGACATGCAGGAACAGGAGAATACGTTGGAGGAGTCCACAGAAGGCTCCAGTGAGTTCAGCGAGCTCAAACAGATGCTGGTGCAGCCGCGAAACGGCACAGGTCAGTTAGAGGGGGTGTGGGCTGGGGGGGAGCCGCCACCATGAGTGAGGCCTGCAGACGGGCCCCTGCCTCGTGGGAAAGCTGGGCTTCCCTTCAGAGAGGCTCGTTTGACCTCGATGGGTTGACAGGTCTGACAACCCCAGGCACGGCCTCGGGGACAGGTTTCCTGCCTCTGGATTTGTAAGAATCAGTCTCCAGGCTAGGAAGAAGGTATTACAGCCAAAGACGAGGTCAGATGTAGGTCCGAAGGGATCTCAGGGATCACCTCTCCAACTCCCTCCGTCTACAGGCAGAGAAGGTCAAATAAATTACCCAAGGTCATGCCATTGTGGTGAGGCCAGAACTTCCATCTCTGCTGTGTTCTTGATAGTTCCTAGGTCACACCAGAAGCTTCAATGACCCAGAGATCTCAGCCCTAGCCGAGCATGTTTTGGAAAATAACGGACGGTGCTGTCTCTTCCTGGGATGATCTAGCCATCACTTGTGTTTAATTATAAAACCTCTGGGTCACCCTTCTGCACACTCTTGGCTCCTCGTGAGTTCAGGAACAGTGAGGAAGTGGCCTCTCAGCAGCCTGATCTCAGGACATCTTTTGTGGCTGATTGTCTGATGCTGAAAAGCCCGACCTTGTCATCTGGTGCACTTTTTACATACACCATGAAACTTAGTGAGCTGCTATTTATTCAGGGGCTTTTCAACTATATTCATAAATGAAATCAGCCTGATCCCTTCTTGAATCATCCTCGTCTAGTTTTGGAAATAAGATTATACTCAACTTATGAAGGTGAACTGGGCAGCTTTTTCTCTTTTTTTCTATATTCTGAAAATAATGTATAAGATAGGAATTAAGTGAATTCTGCCAAATTTTTAAGGAACACACTTAGGTTTTGGTTTTTTGTTTAGATGTTTTACTACTGTGCCAAAGAGCCAATAACTATCATAGCAGTTTCTATACTACTGTACTTAGAAATGTATCCACATCCATTTTATTTACTAGGTTTTTAAAAGTATTGTGCTGATGATTTTTTACATTTTTTCATTTTGCCTGTAGAGAATCCCTTTGCAATTGGCCTTTTCGCGCTTCGTAAAATATCACGGACATCTTTCTTGGTCAAAAGATGTGGATCTAACCCCTTGCTTTTTTTTTTTTTTATTAAAGTTTTTTTTTTTTAAAGATTTTATTTATTTATTCATGAGAGATAGAGAGAGAGAGCATGAGAGGGGGGAGGGTCAGAGGGAGAAGCAGACTCCCCGCAGAGCAGGGAGCCCGATGCGGGACTCGACCCCAGGACCCTGGGATCATGACCTGAGCCGAAGGCAGACGCTTAACCAACTGAGCCACCCAGGGGTCCCTAACCCCTTGCTTTTATTTTTTTATTTATTTATTTTTTTTTAAGATTTTTTTTTTTATTATTCATGAGAGACAGAGCGAGAAAGGCAGAAGGAGAAGCAGGCTCCCAAGGAGCAGGGAGCCCGATGCGGGACTCGATCCCAGGACCCTGGGATCATGACCTGAGCCGAAGGCAGACGCTTAACCATCTGAGCCACCCAGGCGCCCACCCCTTGCTTTTAAATAACCGCATGATATTCCCCAAAACATTTTAATCTACAGGCTGTCTCTCTAAAACAGTGGAAAGTGCAGGGCAGACCGTGAGGCTGGGCTGCAGTGGAGCCTCGAACTAGAAACGCCAGCCTGCCCGCTGGGCACTCGCATTCACTCTAGTGGGAACCTCAGGAAAGTTCTGCACGGTACTGGGTGGGATTTTGCACCTTGGATTGCATCCCTTGCTGCTGAGAATCCTAACAGGGCCCAGGCAGCACTGGCCATGACAAGAGGCCTGAGCTGGGACTGGCACACCTGTGTCCTAACTGTGACCCTGCTGTTTCCTGGGTTCAGAAGGGCAGGAGGAAGTGCCAAGGCCCAGCGGTCACTACCGGCTACTTTGTAAGACCTGGGCCAGCTCACGCACACAGCCAGCTTGTTTCCCTGTCAGTTGAGGGGACAGACTAGATGGACCCTAAGTTAGAAGCTCTGAAGAAATCTGGCTTTACTTACTTTATTTGGAACGATCACTTGGTATCTCTGGGCTTGGATGCCCCACGTCTGTGAAATGGGGAAAATTCTTTCTTGGCTTATCCCATAAGAGATTGTGAATAAAAAGACAAGCTCTAAGGCGAGAACTTGAAAAGTTCTCGTTTGTTTGCTGTTAAGAATTCTGCAAATGCAGACTGTTACAGCAGCCCATCTGACAGGTAGGCTCAGAAAAGCGAGTGGCTTTCTCCTGTCACACAGTGACTAAAAACAGAGCTCTCCAAGTAACTGTTTAGGGAGTACCTAAGTACAAGGCATTTGAGAAAATGCAGACAGGAGTCAGAGGGCACTCCTTTTCTCTAGGACTAACATTCTCGGGGAACACACTAGAACACCGTGTAGAACAGCTAATATCTTGGGCCCTAAAGGACCAGCCTAGAGGATGGAGGGCCAGGGAGGAGGAGGACATCCTACAGTTGGGGTGTTCCTGGAGCCCTTCCTGGGCCGGGAGGGGGGGGGCGGGAGGACCGCACACCAGAGCCTGGGGGAAAGGCAGGAGAAACCCTGGCCCTAGCTTCAGGCTTGGTGAGTCACCCACCTGTGTGGGGGTCGTGCTGCAGGAGAAGGCCGAGGTCCTAAGCCCTGGGCAGGCACACCAGAGTGCTGCGTGCCCAGGAGGGGTTGAGGGCCGCAGGTTGGGATGGTCAAGGAAGGTTTAAGGGCAAAGACAGGATTGGAGCTGGGTGGTATGTGGCCCGCGTGATTTGGAGGCGTGGAGAGGAGGGGCAGATCGCTGGAGGAGGGTGAGTACAGACACCTAAGGAGAAACCGGCAGGTGCCTTCAGGAAAGCGGCAGATCGGTGAGGTTGGGGGAGTCTGGGCCTTGGGGCCCGGAAATCCGAGCCTGAGGAGTCAGGCCCCTTTCCATACAGGTGGTAGGAACCCAGCCCTCAAGTAGCTCCAGTGGAAAAGGGAAGGTCCGCGTCAGGTGATAACTGGTAGGCCCACGAGGCTGCCCGCTTCCGGCACCCTGAGCCCGAGTGCCCCCTCCCGGGGAGGGGGGGACCCTGCGGGCACTTGCCCGCCACCCGCTCCGGGAGATGCGCGCAGGCAGGGCCGGCGTGCCCCTTCTGGGCCGCAGAAGGTTCCCAGAGAGGGTTCCTTGCTGAACCGAGCCCGAGGCCCGCCCGGGTTACACATCCAGCCCCGCGGAGGCGGGGGGCCCGGGCAGCAGGGAGCGGAAAGGAGGATTCCCCCAGAAGGCGGCCCCGGGGGGGGGGGCGACGATACACGGGCATGTGTGGGGGCGAAGGTGAAGCTACCTGCCCGGCCTCCGTCCAGGGTAGAGGCCCTGGGCAACGGCTGACGTCTGTCCGTCTCTCTCCCTGTCCCTGGAGCAGAGGGGATCGTGATCAAAACGGAGGAGCAGGGGGACGAGGAGGACGAGGAGGAGGAGGACGAGCTGCCGCAGCACTTGCAGGCCCTCGGGCAGCTGTCCGGGCGCTACGAGGCCAGCATGTACCAGACCCCGCTGCCCGGCGAGCTGTCCCCCGAGGGCGAGGAGAGCCCCCCGCCGCTGCAGCTGGGCAAGCCGGCGGTGAAGAGGCTGGCGCCGCCGGCGCACGGGGAGCGGCACCTGGGCGACAGCCGCGGCTCCTCGAGCCAGCAGCAGCGGAACCGGCGCGGCGAGCGGCCCTTCACCTGCATGGAGTGCGGCAAGAGCTTCCGGCTCAAGATCAACCTCATCATCCACCAGCGCAACCACATCAAGGAGGGGCCGTACGAGTGCGCCGAGTGCGAGATCAGCTTCCGCCACAAGCAGCAGCTCACGCTGCACCAGCGCATCCACCGCGTCCGCGGCGGCTACGCGTCCCCCGAGCGCGGGCCCGGCTTCGCCCCCAAGCACACGCTCAAGCCGCGCCCCAAGTCGCCCAGCTCGGGCAGCGGCGGCGGCGGCCCCAAGCCCTACAAGTGCCCCGAGTGCGACAGCAGCTTCAGCCACAAGTCGAGCCTGACCAAGCACCAGATCACGCACACGGGCGAGCGGCCCTACACGTGCCCCGAGTGCAAGAAGAGCTTCCGGCTGCACATCAGCCTGGTGATCCACCAGCGCGTGCACGCGGGCAAGCACGAAGTCTCCTTCATCTGCAGCCTGTGCGGCAAGAGCTTCAGCCGCCCGTCGCACCTGCTGCGCCACCAGCGGACTCACACGGGCGAGCGGCCCTTCAAGTGCCCCGAGTGCGAGAAGAGCTTCAGCGAGAAGTCCAAGCTCACCAACCACTGCCGCGTGCACTCGCGCGAGCGCCCGCACGCCTGCCCCGAGTGCGGCAAGAGCTTCATCCGCAAGCACCACCTGCTCGAGCACCGGCGCATCCACACGGGCGAGCGGCCCTACCACTGCGCCGAGTGCGGCAAGCGCTTCACGCAGAAGCACCACCTGCTGGAGCACCAGCGCGCGCACACGGGCGAGCGGCCCTACCCCTGCACGCACTGCGCCAAGTGCTTCCGCTACAAGCAGTCGCTCAAGTACCACCTGCGGACCCACACGGGCGAGTGAGCGCGCGCGCCGCTGCCGCCCGGCCCGCCCCCCGCCCCCGG